GGAACACCGGGGAGAGGGAGAGGAGCGAGGCTGAAGGCACTGAGGAGCGAAGGATGGGCGGGGTGCGCCGTCAGCACGCCGGGTCTCGGCGTGCCCTGAGTGTGCTGGGCCTCTCTCAGGGTGCCGTGAGCGTGCCAGGTCTCTGCGCGCTGAGGGCGGGGTGGAGGTGCGGGACGGGTGCGGTGGCAGGACAGGTTGGTCTAGAGGTGACCCCTTGGTGCTCCGCGGGGCTGGTTGTGACCGTGGCAGCGTGAGCTTGCCGGGGAATGAAATGGGGTCTGGGGAGGAGCCCGTGGGGAGGGGATGGTGAATCCTGCTCTGCCTGGTGAGGTCCTGGGGAGCGGCTGCTTTGGCCACCGGTGAATCAGGAGCTGGTTTTATTTACACACAGCGAATTAGCAGGAGGATCTAATCAGACCATCCATTAGGCTGCCGTAATACTGCGGCCAGGGCACCCGCATCGCACGTCCCAACGAGGGGAGGCTGGTAGTTACACTTGACAGAATCAGATTAACAAAAAATTTTGGAGAAAGGGCCCGCGGTGCCGGTGGTACCCTCGGAGCTGGGACAACCGAAGTGCCGGTGTGGGGAGGGGAAGGTTCTCCCCAGTGTTGTGGCCAGCACGGGCAGGGTCCTGTGGCCACGTCCCCCCCTAACCCCTGCCCTGCTCTCGCCTTGCAGGACTCCATGTTCTCCCTGGCCCTGAAATGCCTTATCAGCCTCTCCACCGTCATCCTCCTGGGCCTCATCATCGCCTACCACACGCGGGAGGTGCAGGTAGGTCCCGGTGACGCCGGCGTCGAGCTCGGGGCTGCCAGGGCGGCTGGGGCAGGCTGCGGGGTTCACCAGGCACCCCGGTGCGATGCGGTACCTGAGCTCACAACCTCCCTCCTTGCTGGGGTCTCAGGGGGCACTGAGGGGTCTTGGGGAGCAGCAAGGGGTCTGCTGGGGTGCAGGGTGCCCAGCAGAGCTGCTGGCGACTGGGGGAGGCTCAGGACCAGGAAGGGCTCGGACCAGGGAAGGTGCCAAGGAAAGCTGTGAAAATCCTTTCCTAATCAGGGCTGCCCATTCTCTTCCTCCCTGCCTGCCCCGGCGTTGCTGGGAAATGAAAGGGCTCCCAGTTTGCTCCAGGAAGGCTGCGCTTCCCCGCGGGATCCGGCTTCGGCACAATGCCGGCGTGGTTTGGGGATGGGAAGAATGAATCACCGGGCAGGAGAAGGAGCATCTCAGGATGGGACACTGAAGCCCCTGGCCCTGAGTACCCGGTGTTTTGGTGCCCCAAAAATCCCACCTCGTCCTGCTCAAGGCTGGGGGACGGGGCAGCTTTGCTGGCTGGGGGGGCTGGAGGACGGCGTCCCACTCCCTGCCTGCTCCTGCCTGCAAGGGACCTTCCCAGGAGCCCCCCCTCCTGCCTGCACAGGGACCGAGCCCAGCGGTGGGTTGCTCAAAGCAAATATTTGAGAGCTCTGTTTTTTGCTAGAATAATATTTACCCTGGGGTGGCAGCGGTTGGGGTCAGCTGGGCGGGCCGTGCCCCGACACTCACTGGCTTCCTCCACTTGTTGTTCTTGGGTTGTGCAAATGCTGCGTCCACCCAAACTCCAGAGGCCCTTCCCCACCTCCCCCCC